ATTTAATCCAAAAGTAATCGTACATAAGTCTAGAAATAGCTTAAATACAGTCAACGCTGTATGTCGTGAAGCTAGTGTTATTAATGCATTTAATAACATGATAGACTATTTGAAAAACTGTAAATAAGGAAATTAAAACATATATATATATATACTTATTATATGTTTATGTATTTAAATGTTGAATGTTTTATAGATGATTAATAGTGTTATTTAGTAAATATATCTTTAGGATTCTTATGCTGTCGCTGATAAAAACTGGAACCTGACAGAATGTGAGTATTGTACCAGTTGAAAACGAGGTAGGTGTAATCTTTGTTGAAGAAGGTAATTTTATATCATCTGGTGATATATGGATAATTGTGAAAGATATACCATTTCCACAATACGTTCGATTACTAATGAAATTACAAGAAGAGTTGATATTGTTTGAAAGATCATTGAATGTGAAAACGCATGTTAGTTTTAGTGAAGAAGGTTCAGCGAATGTGACACTATATCACATGAGAAATCAAGGAACAGCTATCTTACAGTTAGCTAGGGTATTACAGGAAGGATTAATTGATAATTACAAAACCTTAACTTAACAATATCATGACGAAATAGGTGAACTATTACTAGAACTACAAGACATTAAGAAAAGTGTATCTTTATCTGATAGAACTAGGCAAAAACGAGGATTAATAAACGCAGGTGGTAGTATTCTAAAATTTCTATTTGGGACAGCAACCACGGACGATTTACAAGACCTAAATAAAAAGGTAGAACAACAAAGACAGGTTTCTAAAGAGATGATTCATTTAATAGGAGAACAAGCAGCTATAATGAATTCGTTAAATCAAACGCTTGAACTGCATGACCAAGAAATTAGAAAAGTATCTAAGGCTTTAATAAATATTACGAATGAATTAATACACACAAAAATAAGACAAACGGAGATACATAAAGCAGGAATGGAAATGTTAGTTTTCAATGCTAGAATTCAGAATAACTTACAACAGTTATCTTTTACAGTAGCTAATAGTAGAACAGAATTGGCTAAGTTAATACAAGTATTATATGTAACTGCAGATAAAAAGCTAAGCTCTTACTTTTTACCACCAAGTAAGTTAGAAAGAGTACCAAATGAAATTGAAAGGAGATTACCTCCACATTTACAATTTATAATAACTACTCATAGTGACCAGATTTATATGTATTACACATGGGCTGACGTAAAGACAGCTGCAGTTAAAGATACTCTATGGAT